TGTTTTTTGTTTTTGTTTTTCAGTAAGGATCATCTCAATGTGGCACGGAGAGCTCATGTATGGATTAATCTGACCACGAGCCCTGTAAGTTCTATGCCACATCTTGGGGGCTTTGTTCACCTGGATGTGCTCAATGACCAGAGAATCTACATCTAAACCCTTAAGTTCAGCATTACTCTCTGCATTTTTAAGCATGTGCAATAAAAATTCAGCACTCTTTTTGGCCACCAACCCTGTGTCCATCCCCACTGTTTGGCCTGGGTACAGCTACCAACTCCACCATTGTAGCGACAGAATGGCACACACTGCTTCTGCAAAGTGACATCTTTCAGATACTTGGTGGCTTTTCGGATGTATATACCCTTGATTACCTGGGAAGTTTCACGTGTGTTCTTAAAGTGAACACAAAGATTTGAACCTTTTGTTGGCATGATTTTGTCAGGTTTTCCAGGTCAAGTGAATAGCGAACCATTTTCAGAGATCACCTCAGGCCGCTTACAGGAAGAGCCAGAAAAGAACTTTCAAAATACTTTTTGCTTATTTCTCAACCCCCCAACCAAATGTAGGCCTCATACTCACTCAGACAATCAGCAGTCTCCTCACCTCCCTGTTCCCAGTCTCCCTTCCTCATTCTACCCTTCTCACTGCTGCCCACATGACCTCTCCAAAATATCAGGCCAAGATCCCTCCTTGCCTGCACCCTTTCTCATCACTCCCAGACTTGTCTAACCTGGTCTCCTGATGTCCATGCCTCTGCTTCAGCCATGCTAAATGGCCCTCCTGAGTGAGGCTGACTTCTATACTAGCAAGGCTTTGTGTCTGGTGTATTCCCTGCTTGGAAGGCCACCCAAATCTCCTTCAAGAGTCAGCTGAAGGGCTGCCGCTTCATTGCTTCCCTAGGCAAAACAGCAGTCCCAACACCCACACCCACCTCAAGGTCCCACAGCCTTGGTCCTCTGCTCTTCTGTGATACCTGTCTCCTTGCATCCTACTCAGCATTTCCCCCTTAGATTGAGCTTCTAGGAACAATAGTAGTTACTTGTTCCTTTCTGTGGCTATTGTCAGCCACCCTGCTTTAGGAAAACCTATCAGGTAATAGACCTGCAAATATAGATCAGTTCTTTGCTGGTTACTGAGTATTTCCTGTGCCACTTGTTGGAAGAGAGGAACAGAGTTTCCTTGTCAGTGCTGGCCTGGGTCAGGCCTTAGCCAGAGTTTTCAGGTCCACAAATCTACAGGGTTCAGGAAAGGGTGCTGCCTCCCTGGTGCCCAGGGTGTGATTTCATGCAAGGCCACTTCTCTCCAGGTCTCTCCTCCCTCAGCCATAAAGTGAGGCAGTCAACTCAGTTATGTGAAGAGTCCTTTACCTCTGAGAAATTCCAAAGAATCCATGCTCATCCCTATGGACAAGATTTGGTCTGCATGGTCCCTGTGGACAGTATCTTCTGGGGTGGTACAGTCACTAACCAGGGAAACGTATGGGCAAAAATGTCCTGACCCCATGACTTGCCCTGTAGTCTTGCCACCAGGCCAGTGAGCTCCAAGTGATTCCTAAACATAGAAGCAGCCTGGGATGATGCGCATTTTCTTCCTACTTCTATCTGGGCTTGCCCACCCTATCCCTTCCAATGACCTTGCCAAACCAGTATTCGAGGGGCCCTGCACATGGTTCTGGACTTTAGATGCCCTCAGCCTTTCAGATCCTGACCTGCCCTCTGCGACTTCCTCAGCTCCCCACCTCGGTCTCCTTATCTTTGTGTCTTTTATGGGGGCTCTCCACTAGATGGGTGCAATGCAATGATGTATGCCCTTGGGGAGTTCACAACCTAGTTCCAAGAACAGTTCTAACCCACAACGGCAGTAATATGTAAATGCTATGACATAGGGCAACACTGGGTGCTGCCTGGCTCAGCACGGAGTAAAGTGCCCGAGTCTTCAAGGTAAAAGTGCACTAGTCAGGTGGAGGGGTAAAGGAATGAAGGCACTTTAGGCAGGAGAAGGCCCATGTGCAGAGTGAAAGTAAGAAAGTTGTGGCTGGTCAGGGACTTATAGAAGCCACTGAAAAGTTATGTTTTGTTTTGTTTTTTAAGTTTATATATTTTGAGAGAGAGAGCAGGGGAGGGGCAAAGAGAGAGGTAGAATTCCCAGCAGGCTCCGCACTATCAGCCTGGAGCCCGATGTGGGGCTCGAACTCCCAAACCGCAAGATCAACCACGAGATCATAACCTGAGCTGAAATCAAGAGTCAGATGCTTAACTGAGTCACCCAGGCGCCCCGCCACTGGAAAGTTTTTAAGGCACTTGGAGCAAGAGGAGCAACATGCCAGGGAGAAGCAACACCATCAGGTTCAGGTGTGTGTGTACCAGGATCAGTGGGGTGGATTGGTTGGGGAAGGAACCACAGGCAGAGAAACTAGTGAGCTCTCACCGGGGAATAACAGTGTCCCAAGGCAAAAGTGCTGACTATGAGATACGAAAGGTTCTCAATCTAGAGGGCACATTCACGAGCCTTGATGCCTGATTAGCTTGTAGGAGTCAATGAGCAAAGAACAGGATGGGGTCTGGGGTGACACCCAGGATTTTGGCTTGAACAATTGTGTAGATGAGACACAGGAGGGAAAGCAGATTGGAGGGAGAAGTTACTCATTTAATTTTAAATTCTTTATGTTTAAGGTATCTGAGGTACGTTCAGGAGGATGAGGAGGTGGCACGATATGAGGGTTTCCAAAGTGGCCAAACTGGATAATTTCAGTTATCCAGTGGCTTGGCTGCAGGGCTCCAGGAGAACATTCACATCCACCACCACCCCCTGGCTGCTAGGAAAAAGTCACAGAGGCCTCTGTTGGCAGGACCACTCTGGGGGCAAAGTCTGGTCCAGCTGTAGTCCCCAGTATGTGGAAAACATTCCAAAGACACCACTCTTGGGGCAGGCAAATGAACTCTGACACCTCGGTGGGAGATCCCAAGTATTGATCCCCTGAGGTCAGACCAAATGCAGGCCCCTTCCCTGGAAGACAGGGAGCAAAGCCAAGCACCTGATTGCTGTGACCTGACAGTCCCTTTCCTTTTTCTGCCTCGTTTCTCCCTTATCACCTCTCTCTGCATCCCCACTGTTACCCTATCTGACCTTCAGGTTCATGTGAAGAGCCTTTAAATGCACAGAACTAGGCCCCACCCCTGCAGATTCTGATTCAGTTATGTCTGGGATAGTGCCCAAGAACCTGTATGTTTGTCAAGTTCTTGGATGATCCAGGTGACCAATCAGGCTTCACACCCTGCCCCCACCTTCCCAGCCTCTCTTCAGCCATCTATTTTGGGAAATCATGAAGTCTGAGAAAAGGAAAAATGTTTATTTTCAGTAAGTCCAAGGCCCCAAGTAGGGAGAAGGGCCAAATTTTCCCTTCCTCCTGAGGCCTAGGCTGCTGCTCTGGTTTGGGCTTGGGAGAAGGGGAGACTCCAGTGGAGGCGGGAAAGTCACTTGTACTGAGGAGAGAGTGGAGGTACAAGTGGGGCGGCACAAACACTCAGCATCTTATCGATGTCCACCTGGGTTGACTTATCCACCTCAGCCTTGAGGCGGCCACTGACCCCCAACTTGGGCAAACACCCTGGCTCTTCTCCAACCTCCTCTCCCAGGGGAGCCAGTGCATGGGTGGGGGACACGAATGTATTGGGGCAGGGCAGAGTGAGGCCTGACCCCAGCTCACCTGTCACGGGCAGCAAAGCCTTCAGTTGCTCCACACCTGCCTCCTCGGGGACCAGGGCCAACTCCAACTCAGGCTCCACGTCCACCTCAGCCTCCCTGTCCCCCTCCCCTGCCTGATTCAGCTCAGGATTACAATAGTTGATGTACTGGTACAGGGGCCGCAGGCGCTGGGCCTTTCCTGCAAACAGCCAGGGCAAGGCAGGGGCTGGAGCACCAAGCTGTGCCATGACAGGGGTCCATCAGGCAGGAGAAAAAGGGAGGGCCCAGGGGCTGCCACTCACGCTCCAGCGCCAAGGTCTCTGGAGGTGCAGACACTGTGCTGGCCACAGCTGGGAGCACTGGAGCTCCCAGACTCTTGCGCTTCTTGGCTTTTTTGTGCTGTTTGGCAGATGGTGAGGGCTCAGTCTGGCTACCCTCTGGCTCCTCCCTCTGCGGTGGCAGCCCCTGTGGCATCTCAGCTTCAGCTTTGGGATGGACTTGGTGGCTAGGCCCTGGGAGGCTGGGGGACAGGAGGCCTAAGGAGCCAGCCTCCAGCTTTGGCTCGTGTGTCCTGACCATAGGGAATAACCCTGCCTATTCACCACCCCCGGCCCAGATTCTTGTCCCTTTCCTGGTCAGCGAGGCTCTGGGCTGGACAGGGAACTAAAGCTCATGTGAGCTTAGTACCCTACAAGGCCTGAGACCCCTCCTCTGGATGCTCCCTATGCCAGGGTTCCTCAGGGACAGAAGGAGTGAGGAGTGATGGTGGTGGCAGGAGATAAGGATGCATTATGTAAGAGTGCAGGATTTAGGGATCCTGCTGGAGTGTGAGCCCACCCTCCCCACCAGCCCTATAGCTCCTTCCCTCTGAAAGCCCCCTCACTTGACTGGCTTCCTCTTCGGACCAGGACTGGGCCTCACAATGGAGGCCATAGGCCTGGGAGGGCCTCTCTCCTCTAGTGACTCCACCTCTGGCTTGAGCCTCTCTTCCTTCAGCTTGAGTCGTTCCTCCTGGAGCTCTGGCTCTGAGACTTGGACTGTTGGGCACTTGTCTTCACCCAGGGTCTGGCAAGCCTCATAGTGTGGTACCAGGCACTGGTCTGCCATCACTGGACACTAAGGGTGACACATAGGTAACTGGTCACCAGGCAAAGGACACAGGGATCAGTAATTAGACACCCGAGGAGGAGCTTGTCCTGGCATTTAGGGGGGCCTCGCACAGAGTTTGGCCTCCCAGAGCGCCGCGGACAGTCGCTTGGAGACCACAGCCTGACGGTCACCTCGGAGGTCTAAGCGTGGCCGCCAGGCGACTCTACGAGCTGTGCCTGCCCCGCGGCCGTCCTCTCCTGGGACCCTGGCCGCCTCTCGACCCCTGCTGAAGCTACGGCTGCGCAGGGTCAGTACCTCCTCGACGGTTGCTTTCGGGGAGCGGAGCGAGGGGCCGGACCTGTGGACCTGGCGCTGACCCCAGAGACCGGCCGGGCGGCGAGGGCAGGCGGGTGGGAAGGGTGCCTGACCGTGGCTCTGTGCCTCACTCCCCAAAGCTGGAACTACAAGCCCCAGAAGGCTTTGCGCCAGGGGGCCTTGGCCCCTGACCTCAGGGACGGAAATTATTGTTGCCCGGCAACAGCAAGCCCGTCGGGTCGCAGCAGTCGGCGGCAAAACTGCTCCGGTGAGCCCCTTGTCAGAGTGTTGCGGGGAAGGGGTCGCGAACGAAGCAGGGAAGTGGGTTAGGAGCGGAGGCGGCGAGCGCTTTGCGGGGTGAGACGGCGGGGCAGAGGCAGGGAATGGAGGGGCACCGTTGGGGTCAGGGTCTGGGTCCAGAATCCGGGAGGAGGCACGGGGCTGGTAAAGGGGCCAGGAACCGGAAATGTGCAGCCCAGCAGGCCTCGGTACACCGTTGCAGGGTGACGAAGGCGGCATGTGCGAGGGCCCGTCCCGTATCTCGGGGCCAATCCCCCCAGACCCTACGCTCTTCCCTGACTACTACCGGCGGCCGGCCTCGGGTGAGTTAGGGGGTGGCACGGCTGGGTGAGGCCCGAGTGAGGGTCTGGCTCTGATCCACCACTGAGCCCCGCGCTCGGCCCCATCTGGCTTCTCAGCCCAAGGACGCCTTGAGGGAAACGCGCTGAAGCTAGACCTGGTCACTTCGGACCTCGACTTGGACGCCACCCCTCCGCGCGGTCCCCGCATAGGTCCTGGAGCCAGACAGATCCTGGACCGTGGCAGGCATGGCGTCGGAGGAGTGCTGCTGCAATTTGGGGGCATCTCCCTAAGCCCAGAGGCCTCTTCCAAGAGTAAGTTCGGATACAAGGGGCAATGAAGCTAGTACGATGAGGTCAAACGCTGAGATCAAAAGCGTTGCTTCTCCTTGCTAGATTCTGGGCTCAGGGTTTGCCTCTCTGAGTGTCAGTTTCCCCAACTATGAAAGGAGGGGGAAATGCGCTACTTCCTCAAAGAAGAGGACTGAATGCAGTAGTCCCTGGGAAACCCAAGCTCAGCTTAATGAATTCATGCATCAGCAAAACGTGGTCTGTTGAGTGCCTACTGTGTGCCCTCTTTATAGGTGCTAGAAAAACAGTAAACAAGTAAAGAGATGGCTATGATAGACAAAATGATTAATGGTCTACTTCACAATAAAAATGTAGAAAATAATCAGGGACAGAAGAAGGTAATGACTATGTCAGGAAGGGAACAAAGTGATGAGGCAGAGTATGTGTATACTGTTTTAGATGGAGAGGTCATGGAGATCTTTCTGTAGGAGGCAAGGTGTGGGCCTTTGTGTGAACTGATGGGAGTTGGATCTCATGGGCTGTATGTAGGGCAGAGTCTGGCAACATCTTTTTCCCAGGGAAGGACCCTAAAGACTATGAGAAGGAGAACCTGAAGCGGATCAGAGAGATCCAGAAGCGCTTCCGTGAGCAGGAGCGCAGCCGGGAGCAGGGCCAGCCCAGGCCCCTGAAGGCTCTGTGGCGTTCACCCAAATATGACAAGGTGGAGTCCCGGGTCAAGGCCCAGCTGCAGGTACCTGCCTTGGAGAGCCAGAAGCATTGTTCATCTTGTTGACCAACATGCAGTTATACTCTGATCTGAGTTATGGAGATGAAAATCACAGGGGACTAGGGAAACAGGGGCTAAGAGATAGCTGGCCTGCTGCAGAGTCAGGCTGGGGGCTTCCTCAGGAGTGGTGATGGCTTGGGTCATCCTGAGGGACAAATAGGTATTAGGCAAGGGGAGAATTGAAGAGAACCATTCTAGTGAGATGGAACCTCACAGATAGAAGTCCTAAGACCAGAGGGAGTATGCACAGTGGGATGTTATGTTCAGATCAATGTGAAGGGAGAAGAGCATGAGGTTAGGCTAAGAAGTCAGCTGGACACACATCATTTAAAAAAAATTTTTTTTTTTCAACCTTTATTTCTAAGGGCAGTGAGAAGGGCAAGTGAAGGGGTATGGTGGTGGGATTGTCTTGGGTAGATAGTAGTACCATTTCTCTGTCCAGGGTTCTCAGAAGGAGGAGCAGAATTGAGAAAAGAGACAATCAGGTCATATGTGAATTTGTTGAAGCTGAAGCATTTGTGGGATTCCCAGGGGGTAGGAGTGTGTCCAGGAAGCAGATGGAGAGTCAGGTCTGGATCTGAGGAGTGAGACCCAGGAGTTATTGAGCATTGGGCTGAGGACAGTGATACCAGGGAAGTGACCCTGGATTTAATGGCTTGGAAGCCAGCTGTGAGTGACCTTGGTGGGGACAGAGCCAGGAGGCTTGGCAGGGAAAGAGAAAAAGAGAATGGTAGTCAAAAGCCAGGACTGAGGTAGAAAGAGGAATGGTTTGTTGTTTTCTTAAAGATGTGAGAGACACACATATTTAAATGCTCATGGATAGAAGTGCTTCTTCAAGAGGGAGGAGGCCCATAGGGCTAGATACAGAGAAATATCCTCACAGGCAGAAGGAACAGAAGCTCAGCTGTACGGCCAGCTTAAGACTCTGACCTCAGCCTGGCTGATTCCTCTGCTATGCCCTACCCTCCAGGAGCCCAGCCCAGCCTCTGGAACAGAGCCCACCCACTTCCTTCGGGCACACTCCCGCTGTGGCCCTGGGATCCCACCACCCCGTGCCCCCAGTCCTCAGCTAAACCCACCAGGCCCCAATGCTAAGGTGAGAGGATGTGTGGGGGTCGGGAGGTGGGGCAGGGATCTTGAGGGGTTCAGGAGCACAACACAGTACTGTCTGCCCCATCATGCTTGCCATGTCCTGCAGGGGCCAGGCCTGGATGTGGACTTCATTAGCCACAATGCCCGCACTGCCAAGAGGGCCCCCCGGCGGCATTCCCTCTCCCTGCAGGTCCTGGCACAAGTGCTGGAGCAGCAACGGCAAGCCCAAGAGCACTACAACACCACGCAGAAGGGCCACGTACCCCATTAGTAGGTCCCACTGCCCAACACCCAGGGTGAGGGGTTCCTGTGGAGGGTGGGAGAAAACCTACGCCCTGGGACCATCAACTCTGAGCCTGTGCATCCACAGCTTGTTGCAACGCAGGGATCTGTGGCGGCGGGAGGCTGAGGCCCGCCAGCATAGCCAGCCGGACCCTGCCATGCCCCCTGGTCACACTTGCATGCCTGAGAACCAGCGGCTGGAGACACTGAGCAATCTGCTCCAGAGTGAGTCCATAGGCAAGAGGTAGGGGGGTGTAGATGAGGAACCCACTGGGGACCACACACCCCTGCCCAACACTCACTCTTCCTGGATCCCTCATAGGCCAGAGCCAGTTGCTACGTGAGCTGGTGCTGCTGCCTGCTGGGGCAGACTCACTGAGGGCCCAGGGCCACCATGCTGAGCTGGACCAGAAGCTGGTGCAGGTAGAGGAGGCCATCAAGATCTTTTCCCGCCCTAAGGTCTTTGTGAAGATGGATGTCTGAGCCCTTTTGTGGGGGCGCTTATGGGGGTCCTCAGTGAAGATCACCACACAGTTGCAGAGGGCAGGATCAAGCCCCATCAGAGAATGGGGGTCCAAAGACAGGAGCAGTGGTGTGGGCAGTATCCCCAGAGCACTCTTCCCAGCCACCGGTGGCTGTAGAAGGGCCAGCCCAGCCTCTTAATCCCTTTGTCAAAATTAAACCTTTTGTACACAATGGGGTTTGTTTCCATAAGAGCTCTTCTTACCCTAGAAATGCAAAGCCTGATGTCCCTCCTGCTGCTCAACTGCAGGGAGGTCTCTCTGTTGTCCTTATCACTCCTGCCTCAGGTCCAGGGCAGGAGGCAAAATTGTTAGACCATGGAGGATGTTGGGGCTGGGACACAGAAAGACCATGACTGCATTTGTAGAAAACTTTTAATGTTCCCCAGACGAAGAGGCCCCTGCGAGCAAGCTAAAAACCCCCACTGAGGAAGTCCCTGCCATGTCTCAGCAGCCTGGAGTGGCAAGGGGCTGCATCCTTTCCTGTCAGAGGCTAAAGCCACTACCATCTCCTCTCATGCTACTTCCCCAGCCAGCGCTGGCCTGCTCTTGATCCAGGGAGGGCAGAGAGCTGCGGGCACTGGGAAGTAGGGGGCCCTGGCGCAGGTCCCAGCATGGAGGCCCTTGAGACAGCCCATTGGAACAGGGAGGCTGGCGGTTCTCAATGACCAGATCACTGCTGTCATCGTCACTTTCGGCCTCAGCAGGCCCAGGCCCAGCAGAGGGAGGCCCTGTCAGACGACCAGAAGCCCCACGCACCACATTATTGTGCTGATTGGCTGGCTTGACAGTGACAATGAGGTTGTGGCTGTTGGCGACCATCATGTCCGTCACTTGGTCCAAGGTCTTCCCAGCGACCTCAATACCATTGACCTCGAGGATCTCATCACTGACTGCCAGCAGCCCTGTACTCTCAGCCAGGCCCCCTCGTACCAGGCGGGAGATGAAGATGCCTGGAACCCGTTCCAGGCCCTGGGGAGCTACACGTACACTCATGCCATCTCGGATGTAGAAACCAAGGGGACGGTCAGAGCCATGCTTGTGCAGCCGCACCCTTCGGTGTGTCTCAGGCAGTAGGTCCACATCTATGACTGAAGAAACCTGGCGGAAATCTTGGGGCAGGCTAATTAGCAGGGGTGGCCGGGTGCGCAGGGGTGCCACTGGCCGAAGTAGAAGCCCTTTCTTGCGCCGTTGCAGAGAGTTGGAGGCAAAGGCCAGGCCACTGGAGTCGGCTTCTGCTGCAGGAGAGGGGGAGGGGGGCGCTGAGATCAGAGACTCTGCTCTCCCACTTGAACCCTTTTCCATCAGGCCCAGGCCTGGGGAAAAGGGCACTGTAGCTATTTCCTACCACTTGGAGGTCAGGGCAAGGGCAGGGACTGCAGAGGGTGAAGCCTGGACGCCCTGGGCATGGACTAACCCTTGTAGACCTGCCCTGCTGTCCTACCCCACAGAGGCTGCCCACTGTACCCCATCTTCCTCACCCCGCTTCTGTACTAGCAGGCGCAGCGGTGGGGGCCCGCTGGCCAGGGCCCGGTGCAGGCTGTCGTCGTTGGTGAGGGGCAGTAGGTCGCCGTGAGCATCTGTATAGCCAAGCAGCACGTCCAGGCCCGGGATCTGGTGCACTGCACGCAGCAACCGCGAAAATTCTTGGAAGCCACTCACCGAAGCGCGGGGCAGCGCGAAGCGTCGGAACTCAGCATCAAACTGGAGGCAGGGGGTGGGTGAGAGGAGAGGTCAGCACGGAGCCCGTGCCCTTTCCCACCACAGGTCCGAGGGTGTTAGAGGTCGGAAAGGGCTGTCGCAACAGCTGCAGCCTTGCGCCCAGACCTCAGTTCCAGTAAAGGGACGCTGTCCAAGGTCTTCTCCCCGCCCTCCAGGTACCAAGGCCACAGGACTCTAGTGGCCGGCAGTGGAAAGGAGGATAGATGGAGGAAAGCGAGAGGAAAAGCCAGAGAATGGGACATGAATGATGGAGCCGAGAAAAAGGTGGTGGGGACTAAGGAGCCAGGAAAAGGGAGAATAAGGGAATTGGAAGCGCCTAGGGCCGAGGCCGGAGCCGGGGCCAGAGGGGCCCTTACTTTGCTCTTCACCTCGACGATGTTGTCTGGACTGCGCGCCGGAGTCCTCTGCGGCCTGGCCATGGTGGGGCCGGGCGGGCTGGGGACGGTGCCCCAGGCGGCCCGCGGAGGCGCAGGTGCACAGACCCGGCCGGCCGGCCCGTGCTGCCCCGCCCCTGGCGGTAGCACTCGCCCCGCCCTCCCATCCTGACCATGACGTCAAGGGGGCAGCGACAGAGAGTGGAACGTGGAGTCTACGTTTCCTAGGAAACGGAGATGGGGATGGAGGCGTCTTCTTTTGCTCTTACGTCATTACGCTACGGTGCGCAAGTCTCTGGAGCCTGGGGGCGGGGCGTGGCCAATCAGAGGGAAGGGGTGGGGGAAGTGACATTTACTGAGTGTAGTCTGTGTACTGTTACTTCTACTGGCCTTATAAGACTGCACGTTTTAGATGAGAAACTGAGCCATAATAAATATTTGCTCAACTCTTCGGTTCACAAGGTGAAGTGGCTTTGGGCCAACTCGCTTGACCACTCCTGGCGGCAGCCTGAAGCCCTAGATCCCTCCCTCTCCATTCGAGCCATCCCGGCCGGTGCCACAGAAGTCTTGACGAATGGCCCAAACGCCGGGCCCCTGCTCGGAGATACCCTGGTAAGACCAAGAAGGTTGGCATCCAATCTTCCCAACAAGAATCTGCCCGCAAATATCCGAACAACACGGGCTCGTGCGCACGCGCGGACACGCATTTGGGCGTGGCCTCGACCTTAGGTTCCGCCCAGCCGCGGTGCGTTTCCTCTTCCGACGAGAGGCGGGGCCGCGGCGTCCGCGGGAAACCCAGGCTGGTGGTGCTCCACTAGGTGCATACCGGGAATGGCAGGCTCGGGGAGCTTGGTCCTGCGGCCCTGGATTCGAGAGCTGGTCCTGGGGTCAGATACACTCTCAAGTCCGCAGGCGGGGCAGCTGCTAGAGGTGAGTCCCGCCACCCTTCTCAGAGACCAGGGCAGGGCCCGAGGGCGGTGGGATTGACGCCGGTCGACGCCGTCAGGTACTACGAGAGGCCGAGGCTCCGGGCCCGTCCCGCGCCCCTGACTCGTCTGATGTCGCGGCCACACTGCTTGTGTCTGATGGGACCCACAGTGTCCGATGCCTAGTGACGTGGGAGACCCTGGACGCCTCGGATTGGTGAGAGAGGAGCCGCAGGGTCTGGGGAAATCGGAGTCTAGTAGGAGTGCGCGAGGCGGAGGTGGGAGGGCCGCAGGCGGGCCGGGCTGTGTTCCAGCGGGCCGTGGCCGTAAGGGTCGTGCTTGCCGCAGGGAGGAGAAGGAGTTCGGCTTCCGAGGGGCAGAAGGCCGGCTGCTGCTGCTGCAGGATTGTGGGGTCCGCGTCCAAGTCGCCGAAGGCGGCGCGGTGAGTGGTGAGGCTGGTTTGGGTGGGTTAATGAGCCTCTTCGTGACAACTCCTAAGACCCGTCCCGTAATTCAATCCTTCAGCCCGCGGAGTTCTACCTCCAGGTGAACCGCTTCAGCCTGCTGCCCACTGAGCAGCCCCGGGAACGGGTGATTGGTTGGTAAATGATGCCTCCCCCCACCGGCTGTTCTCTCTACTCAGGCCTCGCTGACTTTGGTGTAGGTCTTTTGGGTGGGAGGGCTTAGGCCGCTGGAAACAACATTGCCAACTACCTCCCTTTTTTTTCCCCCAGCAACCAAGACCCGGATGTGCAGAAAAAGCTCTATGACTGTTTGGAGTGAGTAGAGGGTTGGGCTCTGGGGCCAAGTGTGGCTCTGTCAAGGGCAAATTTGTGCAGACAGGCCTCAGGATTGTTCCTCAGGCTTGTCCTCTTTGTTTCTATAGGGAGCACCTTTCAGAGTCCATCTCCCCCAGTGCAGGTATTTATAGGGGTTGGCCAATGACCCTAACTCCCTGTAGAGTGACCTCCCCAGCCATCACCTCTTGCTTCTTTAGTAAGCTTTTCTTCCTACCCACCCTTTCTTCTTTTTTAAGTTTTGGCCCATCCTCTGGTCCCCTGCCCTCAGGCCTTTCACTGTCCCAACTTCTGGATGAGGTGCAGGAGGACCAGGAGCATCGGGGGGCATTAGTGCACCTGGCTGAGAGCTGTCTGATGCTGGCAGGCCCTTACACAGCACCCCCTCTTACCCGCTGGGCCTCCTCCCACCATAGGACCACGGTCAGTCTGGGGCTCCCCTTGGGAAATGTCAGAGGAGTTGAACAAGGGCTAGGCTGAGAGTTTATGCCCCACAGGGAGAAGCTGTGTACACTGTCCCCAGCTCATGGCTGCACATCTCTGAGAATGACCAGCGAGTTCTGAGCTCTCTGGGTCCAGGTCAGAGGACACAGGGTAAGGAGGACTAGAGAGGTCAAGATGGGAGTACCTGGGGACCTAGTGCCCACGGTGCTAATAAGCTCCCCCTGACCCTCAGACCCTGAGCTGCCCCCATCAGACCCAGCTCTGGAAGACCTATCGCTGACCCTGATCTCTCCTTCCTCACCTACGTCCTCAGGTAAGGTGGTGCGCAGGCCACAGGCATTCACTGCTATCAGCCACGTGGGGGGATGAACACAATCCCTGTCTGCCTGCCTAAGCTAATGAGCCACTGAGAGGGCTGTGCCCACAGTCGGTGCCCTCCTCTCCAGGAACCCCTGCTTTACCCGGCCACATGTCCTCTGAGGAAAGCGGTGCCAGCATCAGCCTTCTGCCTGCCCTGTCCTTGGCTGCTTCAGACCCAGTGCAGAAGGGCAGCTCCCGGCCTGTGCCAGCCATCTGTTCAGCCCCTGGCCCCCTGCCCCCCAGTTCCATACACCCTAGCCGTGGACCCAGATCCCCACTCCTGAGCTGCACCCCAAGTCTCTCACCCCTTGGTCATGTACCCAGTCCACGTCAGGCCATTGTGACCAGGGCACAGAAACCTAGCTTGGAGTTCAAGGAGCTAGGATTGCCCCCCAAGAACCGGCAACACTCTCCAAGGACAAAAACGACCACAGGAGCCCTGGAGTCCAGCCCTGTTGGGGTGAGTATAGCCTCTCTACAACTGGATAGTAGAATGGGATGGGTCTTGGGTGGAGCTGGGAGTGGGGGTGGGGAGTAGCATCAGATGGGGTTAGGGGTCCTTGTAGGTCCCTCTCCAGATACCACACCACCTTCAGGACCCTCCAAAGAAGCATCGTGATGGTTCTGCCTTCCAATATGAGTATGAGCCACCCTGCACCTCCCTCTGTGCCCAGGTGCAAGCTGTCAGGTGAGTGCCTGGGGCTGCCCCTATTCTTTGGGTCATCAGGCCCAGTCTCCATTGACCTACAGCCATGGTTCTTTTCCCAGGCTTCCTCCCCAGCTTGTGGCCTGGGCCTTGCACCTTCTGATGGAGCCACAGCTGGAGTCTCAGCTCACCCAGGTGTGAGGGGTCATGTGAACATGTGGGAAGATGTGTGCACACAGGTCCATGGCTGGGGATAAACCAAAAGTACTCCCCACTCTGCTTCGAGTTTTTTAATAAAATAATCTCATGCGGCAGGAAAAGGAGAGGGTCAGGGGTTGGGGCCGCCGCCTCTTTGGTCTGTGGCTGGGGAGGGTGGCTTCTGCTCAGGACTAGAGGGCTCTGTGGGCTGTGGGGGCAGAGGTTGGGCTCCAAGGCCAGATCCTGCAAGGGAAGGAGGAAGGGAGAGGAGGGGTCAGGACTGGACTGAGCAGTCCTGCCACCCTCCCAACTGGCCCTAGCTTCCTCTCACCTAGGCCTGGAGATGAGGGTGCCTCAGGCTTTGGCCTCCGCTTGAGAACAGGGGAGCGCTGCAGCCGCAGGGGCCGTTCTGAAAGACAGAGAAACACTTGGCAGGGGAGGAGGTTGCTAGGGGCTTACTGCCTGTCCCCAAGCGTTCTCTCCCACCTCCAGTGCGTGTGTGAACACACACTGTTGGCTTCAGAGCCACCTCCTTCCCCTGCATCCTCCCACCCCTGGCAAAAGCTGTTCTCCTGGAGGTGGAGCCAGGACTAGTGGGAAGGGCTTGTCAGACCCGTGCTCCTGGCCTTCTGGCTCCCTAACTTCTCAACCCCTTACACCATTGGTGGCCCCCTGCAAGGACCAAAACCACAAAGGGAGCCATGGAATCTACCCTCCCCATCTCCTCCTGCACTCAAGCACACAGGGAGGTGTTCCCCCTCACCAGCAGGGGTCTGGAGCTGGTCCTCATGCACAGACACTGCTCGTCGCCCTGCCGAGAGAGGCCTCGGCCTCAGCTGGCCATCTGGGGGAGGCCAGGGTATCAGGGTATGGTCTCAACAGCTTTCCCCACTCCAGCCCTTGCTTCCCCCTCCACCGTCAGGGTCCCCAGCCCAGTATTGGGGTGGGGGCTAGGTGCCTGCTTACCTTCGTTCCTAGGGCCCAAGCAAGGGTCCTCTGGGAGGACCAGGCTGTCAGGGGAGGGGCTGGTTCTTCGTGGGCTGGGGCTGGGACAAGGGGAGGGGGGGCCTGGACCATCCTGTTGGCCCCAACCACGGCCCCTGAGCTCTGCATTCAGCTGCTGTCCTAGTGTCTTCCAGGTGGTGGACTCCGGACCTTGGCTCCCTGGACCAGGTCTGCATGAGGGGTCTACAGGGAGAAGGGTGTGAGCCTAACCAGTCGTCTGACCCCCTCCTATCTTTGCATGTCCCCCAACACACACAGTGGCCCTTACTCACCAGCCGACACAGAGTGGGTGCGGGACTTGATTGAGATGGGAGGGGCCTCTGTGGAACTGTCCATAATGTCACCTGCAAGGGGCTGGGGGTTCAGGCACCAGCCTTTGGGAGTGAGGGGAAGAAAAACCTGGCCTCTTCCCCTCTTCCCCCAGAACAGCAAGTACCTTGGGGACTATATCTAAGGACAGCTCCTTCACCAAAAATGTACTGCCATAGCACAGGATCCCACTTACCATCCGAGCCAGCCTTCTTGATCTCTCCATCCTTGCTCTGTAAGAAACAGGGAAATCGAGCTCAGTCCTGTCCTGTCTTCACTCTAGCCTTGTTCTTGTAACCACTACTAAATGCCCACCAGGAGATGCAGGGATGGATGAAGAGGAAGCTCATGTAACCCACAGATGGCGATGAGAGGCTAGAAGTAGCCAGGGAGGAGTTCCTGACACAGGAACACGTGGCAGGGTGATGAGATGAAAGAAGTGACAAGGGCTAAGGCCTTGGGGCAGGATTAGGAGGCAGGGCAGTGTCTTGAGAGGAAGTACCTGGAAGACTTGCTGTTTCAAATGCAGGTGACAAGGTCAGAGTTCTGTTAGATCTACAGAAAAAGGACCACCCCAGTCCAATGGCCAGGGCAGAAGCCAAGAAGGAAAAAAGGTGGACTCTGATGACTGTTCTGAGGGGGAGGGGGTGGAACTGACAGAGCCGTCTGTGTGTCATGAGCCTCCTTCTGGTCACATATGTCACCCACAGATTGCCACAAGCCACATGTCGCCTGCCCCCTCACTTTGCACTTGTGTCCCTCCCAACTTACTTGCTTCCTCTTGCCTTCAGCACTCCCGCTGCTTCTGCTCACACCAATCCTCTGCAGCATCACTTGTACCCGCTGTTCAAAGGATGGGGCCAGCTCTGTGTCTCCCCGCTCCAGGGGCCGCCGCTGAGAACACAGAAGCCCAAGTAGGAGAGAGCCCATTGCCTCAGTCCTAGCAGAGCCCTCACCCCTTGTCACCAGGCCTACCTTGTCAGGTCTGGTGCCCAGTGTTTCCTCCTCCTCAGCAGGTAGTAGTATCATTGAATAGGCCTTGCTTTCCCGGGTATAACGAGGCCGGCTCCTATGGGCCGGGTCTGGGCTGCTGGTGCCCCCCTCAGCTCCACCAGGCTCCTCCCCACGACCGGGGCGGGATGGTGGCCGCAACAGGTCTCCCAGTGTGGTCTTTCGAGTACGGGGAGCTGCCCCAGGGCTGGTCTCTAGATCAGGCCGTGACCCCCGGGTTGAACGAGGCTTCTTAAAGGCAAACAGGGTACCCAGCTTCTTTCTCAGTGTACGGGGGACAGGGGTGGTACCCCCTTCATTGGCTGAGTCCTCTTCAGGAACCCAGCTGTGGGAACAGCTGGCAGTGAGTGGCAAAGCAGACAGACCATCCCACCTTCTCCCACCCCATACAACTGCCCCTCACTCACAGGCTATCCTGCTGGATCAGCCTTTTGGAGAAGAATTCCTCCACGCCTTCGTCCACGCGGGCACTGAGTCCATTCCCTTCCTGCGGCAGGGCTGGGAGCACCTGGGGGACACCATAGGGTAAGGACTGAGCACAACCATATATTCTCTCCACCCCTTGATAAGCAGCCTAGCCTGGGCAACTTCTGCACCTGAGAGCTGCAGTGACCTTAGGGGGCTACTGACAAACATTCCTGCTGTCCAACTGGTGGGCAGAGATGGTTTCACATATCCACTAATCAGAAGCTGGCCCTGGACACACACACTCAGCCCACACCTGTTCTTGTCCCATGGAGTATCGACACCCGGAACCATCCTGTCACCAGCAGGCTAAAACCTACAGGCTCCTGGGTCACACGTTCCCATTTGCTACCCTCTCTGCTCCAAACAGTTCCCTGCAGTACCTTCCACCCCCACCCCACCCGGCCTGCTGGCAGCTCAGCGGCTCCTGCTGCTGCGTCAGACCCTCTGGGGGGCCTCAAGCCAACTCCTGCCTGCCTTCTGCCCTGTGTCCACTGTCCCCACCAGTACCCAGCCCACACAGAACATCTCCCCACATAAACAACTACTGGACGTGCAGTAGATGCAGGATTGTCCCCGCAGCCAGGGGGCCCAGGATCTTTCAGTAACCCTGGGAGAGGGAGGATAAGATGGACACCCTCTCTCGCACATCCATTCATGCAAAGGGCCAACCTAAGATGCATTTCTAAACTGAGATGTACCCCAAATTAAATCCACAAGCTCATGACCCTGCATGGGAATGGCCTGGGGAAGGGGTGGCCAGGAATAAGCCAAGATTAGGCAGCACGACCAGGTACTCTTGAGTCCCGACAACCCACCTCCCTAGCTGCTTCTCTCCTGAGAAACAAATGAGGCACCCGTGACCCCCTAGTTCCACGAGCTCTGGAATGGGGGAAGGGCACTCACCTGGGGGCCCCCCGGTGGCGGACGGTGGTGGTACTGGCGCCGCGGCCGCGGCCGGGCCCGGGTCGGATGGCGTAGGGGCTCCCCAGAGGGTGGCAGGTCCATGCAAGGCAGTGGGCCGGCCTGGGGACCCGGGGTGGCAGGGCTCGGAGAGCCACGGGCAGAAGGCCCCGCCTGCGGCTCTGCATCTTCCCCCGGAGCCGCCAGCTCGGGCTCCGGTTCCTCAGCAGCACCTAAAGGGAGAGCACCAGAGGAGTACCGAGGAGCAAGCCTGGGGAGGTGGTGGCGGCAGCAGCGGCGCTGGGGCGGCGGGGGACCCGCCCAGGGCGCGGGGAGGGGCCCGACTACGCCACCCCCACCCCCCCACGCCCGCCCCTCCCCCCGTCGCCGCTGTCCGTGGTGCTGAGCGCGGCCCCGAGCGGCGCGGCTCTGCGCTGCCGCCAAGCATGCGCATCCTGGGGGTAGGGAAAGGGGCGGGGGAGACGAATGGAGAGTAGATCCTGGTCTGCTCAGGTCCTGCTCCATGCTGACCACAGTAGACCCCAACCTGCAAGTCTGCCTGGGGAACCTGGCCTGGCTCAGTCAAGGGTGAGGTAGTTCCTAGGACAAGACTAAATGAATGTGACCATGTGTCTAGGTCCCCAGATCTAATGGAGGACCTTCAGCTCAACCTGGTTAACTCCCTTTCCCCCAGACCGACTTACTGTGAGTGGAGAGGACCAGGTGAAAACATTGGCTGGACTCAGGCCATTTCTGTGGAGGACTGTCATGCTGGGTGGGAAGGGCAGAAACTCAGCCTGGGAACCAGGGGAGCTGCCTCCCTGCCTTCCAAACTTCTGGGACCACCTACCTTCTGTTCCTCTTCATCCTTCTGCTTTTCCCTCACCTCCTCAGAGAAGAAAAGACCTTCCAATTCCCCAGGCCCAAGGGGGCTGGGCTCACCTCCATCCAGTGCTGGTATGGCAGGAGGCATTGTCACTGTTGCCTGATGAGCCAGACTCTCCACCTGCAATAAGGCACCCTAAAGATGGGCAGGTAGGGCCTCAGCCATAGTCCCATCAGTGCTAAGGAAACCCTGAAATAACCCTGGGCTATATGACCCCAGAAGACATTAAAGAACCCCTGCAAGGCAGTGGCCAGGTCACTGTGTGTGTATGTGTGCCTGTGCACGCATGCACATGCCTGCGTGCACAATTCTCCCTCACCAGCCGATCACGGGCTGCATTCAGCCCCTCCAAGGCCTGAGCCACAATGCTCTCTGCCAAGGTCCCCGTGACTGACAACCGCATATCCCTGAGAGCAAGAGAGAG